TCGCCAAATATATATTCTTGGAGGTAATAGTTGAGTAATGTACGATGAAGATCAAATGGCTTCTTTTGTTTAAATCAAGAATGCTGATTGGATCGCAGGAACTGCCAATGCACTTTTTTATTTCTAAAGATTGCAAGCTGTCAGCAAATATTGATATGAATGCATACCCACCAGGTGCCGTAGCAGATTATTTGACTTTGTATGGACGAATTTTTACCGATTCCTACCAAATGTCTGCACTTCAGTTTATCGATGGTGGTAGTGCAAGGATCTTTGGAACTGTTAGTGAGCCTTGTGCCTATGCGAAAAAATTTCTCAATCCTACAATTATGATTTCACACTATACCAAAGGCGAGGCCCTTATTAAAGCCTATTGAAAGAGCGTGATACAAATGTTTCAGGGTGTATTTGTCGAAGAGTCTTTGGCAAATCCTTGGAAACAGATCATTTCTCTGCATTGATAAACGTTTCTTATATTTTATAAATTCTGTCGATCAGTTGACCATTGATTTATCCCGATAGTTGAAATAAATTCATCGGTTGTATTATATTGATTTTCATCCGAAAAGTAGCGAAGATGTTTATGTGGGTATGTGAGGGTGGTTAAAAAAGGTTTTTTGGACTGGACTATTGATAGCAATCGAGACCTATAATGAGCATTCTGAATAAATTTGGTTTTTATCTTTTAGTACTGAATCTTTTCATTGTGAAACAGAGTTTAGAGTTAAGATAGCTCGAAAACAATTTGTTGGATCGTACACGGATTTTCCTGTTGTAATGCTTACAGAGAAGACTTGCTTCGGTAACATAACAGAATTCTAATTTGCTCTAGTCCATACAATACCGAGAGTCAGTATGCGTGTTCAGCATTAGGCATTCATAAACGACAAACGATGACGACGTTAGCGTGAATGAGCATAGGAGGTCAGATGGTTAACACTTCCTGCATTCGCATCCAAATCAAGCCGTGAACGTTTACTGTCGTTTACTTTATTAACGAGCTAAATGTTTCTTTGTTGGATTTCTGTGATGAAAATAAACCTTAGCATTATTAAATAGAATCGAAGTATGATTATCATTAAAGAATTAAAATGCGATTTAACAAAATTTGATTATTGATCGAAATTAGAAAGATATTAATTATTTTTAATAATAAAAAACTTTTTAAAATGAATTCATCCTGTAAAACTAGTAACATTTTGTGAAATACGATCGATACGGAGTGTTGAAGTATGCGAAGAAAAATTTGAAATTGCCTTTTCCCTTCCATAAACCATGACAGCCGTTGTTGGCACACGATCACAGACAGTATATCAATAACGTCTTATTATAATATATGAATTATTTCCTTATCGCATTTCTGAAGGATTCAGTAAAGGGATGGTAAAAAATGTGCCTCAATAAAACAGTTTTCTTGTGATTAGCAACACCAGCTACATCGTGTGTCATATCATAATCCTACATGAATTGTGCTAATAGCTTTTTTTTAAAAATAATATTCCAGTCTTTGACTACATAAAAGTGTAGAAATTCTCAATTTCTACATTTTTTAGTAGTTTCATCTACTTTTATTTAATTTCTAAATATCATTGAATCAAATGAAAATATTAAAGTGAAAAAAAAGGTTAATGATCAATAGATTGTAAACATAAGATGAATAATTAGTTATTGATCTTCAATATCACCCATTACGGCCACTGCCTCAATTTCAATCTTAGCATTCTAAAAATTTATAATTAATTATTTTAATAATTAAAAACTTTATAAACTTTTACCAATGGAAGACCAGCAACTTGAACTGTTGATCGAGCAGGATGACGTTCCGAAAAGACTAAAATTAATAAATAAAAAAAAATTATTCAATTTTCTGACTAAAACATAAGCTACCCTCGGTATAGACTGCATTCATATCCGAAAAATCATTCATATCTTGAAGAAATACATTGACTTTAACCACTACATTAAAAAAACATCATTAATTTGATTGTGTTTATTCTCTCTATTTACTCACCATTTTTGTATGAAACACCAGCTGCTTTTAATACTTCTCCCAAATTTTTGAGTGTCTACAATTAATTAATACAAAATTAAATGATGATTATTACTTCTACTTTAAAGCTATATGTAACAGTGTCCCACACGGATCAAATTTTTTGTGACCAGACTTGATCCAAGTCGGACTCTTGTATTGATCAATTTTTCTCTCTTTCTCTTGAGAAAATGAAACTCTCAATCCTTTTTTCTTTCTTTCATTCCATAGTCGGAAACAAAGGATATGTCCTTGATCTCTTTTCATTATTGATATTTCGCCGATATCCCGTAGTTGAGACAACACGAGTATGTTATAGAATTTTTTCTTGTTCATCTTTCTTATGTATATAATCTGCGACCTTTATATTACCATTGAACAGACACAGTTATCGCTATGCATCGTTGTCTGATGTCATTAAAGAAAAGTTGGTGAAGTAGTAGAAAAGATTGTGCGGTACATAGCTTCTTGTTTTACTAAGCTCTTCCACACTCTCTTCTAGAAATTTTTATTGAAAAAAAAATATTCAAAATACTTTTTGTACCTATAAAATGTTCAGACTACAGATCCACCTTGAAATTCAAAAATTTTTTCTTAACTCGGCTCGAGTCAAGCATGGATATCTAATCTACTTCTTCAGTTTTTTATAGACATAAAGAAATCAGTTTATTTATTTATAAAAAATCTCTTTAATATTTTTGTTTTGTTTTTTCTTGAAGTAGACCAATTCTTAGTTTTTTTACACTTGCCTAGCCGAACTTTCAGCACTATGGAGTCGCAAAGATAAATTCTGGAAAGGCTTTAGTTTATCGATACGATTCACTTTAGAATAATACCATTGAGAAAAACATTGTTGAGACTTTGGGACAAAAATATTTCGATCTTTAGGATCATAATCGTTACCAAAGCTGAAAACTTGGAAATTTTTGTGCGTATAATATATCTAAAATCTAGGTCAGCGACATTATTCCTGCCTTGATTATTTCAATAAAAAGAAATTTAATTTTTATAGAGTATTCCTAAATTATCAATTATTCTTGTTAACAAATTTCAAAGAAAAATTCCGTGTTACAGATAAATAGATGGCAAACGACTATTATATTAGAAGCAACGATTCAGAGATTTGACTATGGAGCAACGAAAAAATAATAATCTTGTTCTCTTCATTTGAATTAAAAATGACTTATCGTACCAGATGTCATTGAATAATTTTGTACTTAAATAATCAAGGTGAATGTTGTTCGTGACCTAGATTTCTTTGCGTTGTATACTTTCCAAATAAAGACTTTAAAATTTTATCTCTATTTTTCTTCGAGAGTAATAAAGTAATCTTTGAAAGACTCAAAAAAAGAAAGAGTTCAAATGGAAATATAGACGATGCTCAGAATTTTGTACTCGGAATTAGAAATATTCTATCTATTTTTGTTCAAAACTAGTGAAGGAAATTCTTAAGGGTTCAAAATATTAGATTGAATGGTGAACTAATAGACCTCATTTTCGAAGGTACCAAAAGATATTCGCGTCGATTGTTTTGTGGAACAGACAATTCTTTACAAAATTTTATATTGAACGAAATTATGGCTTTTACCTAAGTGTCGCTTTTTTAAAAAAATGAGAATTTAAGAGAAACAAAAATTGAAATGATCTGTAGAAAAACTTCAATAGTACATTTTGTAGGATTGCTTCTGCTTTACATATTGGTATATTAATAGGGATGACAGCATTTACTTTCAAGTTACAATAATGAAAGTAGAAAATGTGTACGGAAAAATTTTCTATCTAAATCATTTTCAAAAGATCACTTCATTGGTCTCAAGAAAATTTCTAAGCTTACATTCGGAAAGAACATAGAATTCTGGTTATAATCCATAGCTTTGGATTCCTCGGAAACACTTTCAAAGAAGTCAAAAATAAACAAACATTTTATGTCAAAATTTTCGATCTATTCATTATTCAAATCTTAATGTTTGCCATCTTTAATCAGATTTGATCCGTATATAATTCAGATGATGAGTTAATGAAGAGTTCAAGTAGTATCGCTAAATATGATCTATTCTTAGACATAACGAAAAGTAAATAAAGTATTTAAGTGATTATATCTCGAATGCCTAACTTTGAAATTTAATGTTACCTGTCGAGTTTGATCTTGAATAGTATCACCAGCAAATTTTCCTGTCTCTGGATCAAGTCCAACAGCACCACTAAGATAAAGCATTTGATCAATTTGAACTGCTTGACTAAATTGAATAATTAATTATTTGAAATATTAATTCCGAAGATATTCTTTTTTATTTACCTATAAGGTGCATTTGAACGTCCACCTGTCGTTGTTTTAATAATACGTCGAATATGTTTTGTTGACGACATATTTTAAATATAAATAGAAGTAAATCTAAAAGTTTCAAATAAAGAAGATTCGTTTGTTGAAGGATAGAAATACGACATACAATAGATTAATTTATCGTTCTATCACAAATTTCTACCTCGAAATGTCACATTTTTCTTTTGTATTGTGAACGAAACAAAATTAGAAAAAAGAAAAAGAAAAGATACGATTCACACGCAGGTTAAGATAAGCTACACACAATTTTTTGTATGTACCTTATCCTAATATTTTTGAGCCAATAGCATTACTTTCCATGTTTTATTTTCAACTATCCGGAAATTATTTGACTTTAACATATGTTTAAAAAAAATCTATAAGCAAATATGTTAGTTGAGTTAAAAGATACTGTTGAAAATAAGCTGTTTATGAAAACAAGATAGAAGTTCAATTTAAATTCCATACTATTTTTAGTTCGAATGACTCTTGATTTTAATCTTTCGAGATAGAAAAACTCAAACATGAATCGAATCAAAACTTGATTGTAGATCAAAAAGTAATAATAGACTTAATTTATATTTCATTTGTATTCAAGAAAAATCTATATATTCTCAATACTAAATTTTATTTTTCTGAATTAATTATTAATTGATTCTCGTATTGAATCATATTTTTATCATGTAAATAAAAATTTAAAAAAATTCATCAGTTATTTTATAAAAGAAGATTGAATACGAATGTTTACATATGCGACGAGTTGACAGTGAGCTATTGAAAATAATAAAGCAGCAAAGTCTGTTGTCGTAGTTTTCTTAATGTAAAATACTTCAGTTTTGTAGATCTATTTGAAAGATATTTAATGAAAGAAAACATCTTTATAAAGTGAGGTACATAAACTCACATTTCGATAAATAATTCCAATTTAATAATCAATCTGTTGAATTTGAAGATTTAAAACTTGATCTACACGATTTGTTGAGATATGAATAGATAAAAAACAAGGTTGATATAATGATAGAAAGTAAAGTTTTCATTACATCAAGTACTTGACATCAGTAGTGAATCTAGATGAAACTTATAGAGGGTAATATTGGATCCAAATGATGAGTTTTAATTAAAAATTTTTTTCGATCGAAGTCGGCGAAAAGAAATTGTTTTTTTTGCATTCTGTAGTGTTCCGTTTTATGGAATATAATCGTAATTTACATCGAAGTTTATCAACAGATTTAAGATTTCATTTGAAAATATGCATGTATTCTGAAGTTATAACGTTTCGAGTTTTTGCTACGTTTAGCAAAACTCCAAAGCATTTTAATTCTTGAACGGATGTATATTTTCAGACGAAATTTTAAATCGGATGACCAAAAGTTGGAGGTAGAGCGATAAAAAAAATTTCTTTTTACAAACTCCAGTCGAAAAAGTTTATGATTACAGCTCATAATTTGGGTCCAAAAAAACTCTTTTGAAACACAATGTGGAATTTAATTGAATTCTTTATTCATTCAATAAAATAAAGAAACAATAAGATTTCTCAGGTTTTTCTGTATTTATTTATAGTAAATTGTATATTATTAATTTGCAGTATATTTTAACAAAAAAATTCTACAGAGTCGATGTTTGTTCATTTTATTTTAATATCTTATTTTTCGTAAAATGACTTTCATTATATCAAATTAAAATAAGAATAATATGATATTTTTGTACTTATTTATTTCTCGAACGCTGATATATACAAGTACCGTGCATGTAAATTTGATACTCGATATGAAACGCTCTCTTTCATATTTTTAGAGGTTGCATGTATTTTTTTATGCAATGGTAATTTGTGTGTGTAGCTTATCTCAACTTCATATGAACATTAATAGCAAAAGTGATTCGATGGATCAATGATTCGAGGTTTTTTTTTTCTCGTTGAGACAAAAGTAATACAAAAGAAAGCATCGAATAACCCTATTCAAAAGCATAATTGTCCTTCAAGGTCAAGGAGAAAAACGATTTTTTTTTCTTCATATAAAAGTGCAAAAAAACAGCAAAAACGAGCATTTTTTTGCCAGTCACGCATAATTAAACTTGATTAGAATCATGTCAAATTTTACTACTTTAAAAATTTCGATGATTATTTTGAAATAGAAATATTTGTTATTTCTGTATTTATTTAATTGAAATGACGTATCGACTAGGTAGAATTCATGTTTTGACATAAGTGAGAAGAGTAGAAAAAAAAATTTTGAATAATTTTTATTCATTTTTGATCTGATTAAAATAGATCGATCTCTATGACAAAGAAAAATCGTCAATTCGAGATATTAACATTTAAAAGTTACTCCAGAAAATACCTTAATTATGATTGAAACACACCAACAAAAAAAAAAGAAAAACTAATTGATTACAAATTTGAAAATTTTTCTAAAAGTTAACAAATATTTCCTTTCTGATTTTCGAGATAAATGTCATTAAATTTGTTTATATGATACAGAGGAAAAGTAAATGAGCGTATTGGAATTTTCGATTTAATTTTGTAGAAGCTCTGAACAGTTGAATGAATAACAATGTTCTTTTTCGACATTATTTTTTAATGTAATTTATCAAATTTCGATTAGCGTAACAACAAATCTCAGTTGAAAATATTTGGCCTTATAATCAAACAATATAAAATCGATTTTGATTTGTGTACAGAAATAGAATTCGATACAGTTAGTTGATTGATTGAAAAAAAAAAATGAAAAACAAAAGTTTTAATTTGGTACAGTCAATTCGATATGAATTAATCTCATTCAGAAAAAATTTTTCGTTTCTCTATATTTAAAACAAATTCACTTCTGCAAAAATTGTTTTGAAAAAGAACGAAAATAAAAGAAAATACATCATTATCAAATTTTGTTCGACAACCATTTGTAAATGTAAAACAACATGAATTAATGTACATAGAAACAAACTATTCTAACAGTATTTCTCATTGATTATTATTCAGTTTAAAAAGTAAAATAATTCAATTTTTAATATTCAATTTTAATGGATATGATAATGGAATCAACATTAAATCGATGTTCAATTTGTCAAAAAAGTGGATCGATGTGTATTTGTGGAGGTTGTAAAAATATATTTTGTTTAAAAGATTTCAATGAACATCGTCAACAATTATCAAATCGATTTGATCATGATATTATTCGATTTCATGATGAACTTCTTTCTCGAATAAAACAATTAAATGAATCTTCAAATGAACTTTTTTCTCAAATAAATCGATGGGAATCAACAACAATTGATAAAATACATAAGGCAGCTGAAGGAGCTAGACAAAAACTTAATAAAATGCTTAATCATGAAAGAGAAATTTTTAAAGAACAATTTGGAAATTTAACAAGGCAAATTCGTTTTCAACGAGAAGAAAATAATTTTGTTGAAAATGATATACAATTATTGAAAAATAAATTAAATAAAATGCAACAATCACTTCGACAACTTAATGGACAAGATAAATCACATATTATTCTTATAGAAAATAATAAAATCAATTGGAATAATCTTATTTATCCTCAAAAACAACAATTAACATGTGAGTCATTGTATTGATTAATTAAATTATACTCCTCAGTAAAAGTCTTTATTCTTTTTGTATTTTAATTTTTTAATATTTGCTTTCTTTTTATTATCGAACTAAAGTATAGCAACGATATTTTATATTAATATGATATGTATAGTCACCATTTACATTTTGCCAAGCACTGTCCTAGTCTTTTCATACTATCAACTAGTTGGACCTTCAGAAAATTGACGATGAGCAGTAGGTAGAAGATTGTTTTCATATATGCTGTATATAAAATCTTACGTTAAATTGTATCTGACAATAATTAATTGTTCGAAACCGTATTTTGAAACATATTTCTAGACGTATAACTTGAGAGATTATTTAACTGTATGAACAAATTTGGTAACATTTGAAAATTGCTAAACTTTTCTTTTGTTGTTGCCAAGTTTGAATGTCCTCTCATCGATAGAAATACACGTTGTCCTAGTGAAAATATTGATACTATCAAGTCTAGATGAGCGTCGTTGCTTGTAATGTTTGTCTGTGGGTAAGGGCTTTTTTAAAAGTGAACCATGAGATCCACCACTTTCACTTAATCGACGTCTAATAATACTTGAGTCTATATGCATGCCGTCCTTTTTTTAGAGTTTTTGAAATGTCACTTGATATAACATTCAAATCACATTTGATAACATTAACAATCTTTGTATCTGTTTTCCGTAACATGGTATATTATCGACCAATTCGTGATAAATTAGACAAGTCTTCATTTGTTACTATCTCACAAGTCAATGCCGTACAGCTTTTGACATTTTAGAATTTAGTAGATGTAGTTTGAGAAACAAAATTTCATAGCGGTATGATAGAAAAAAATAACATGTTTAAACTTTACAAAAGAATGATAAAAAACAAACCTATTCTCGATATCGATCTACATTTTATACAATAACAATTGTTATATAAGTTTGGGTCATCTGAATCAATAAAAAAGAGCATTAGAAGCGAGAAATACTATTGTCTAGAGCTGTATTTATGTTATACATTAGTTGGATAGTATAAAGAAAGAAAATATTTAAAGCTTTTTTTTTAAAGAAAAGGGCAATCGGGAAAACTTCTGCTCAGAGGTTTAATTGTTTTCTTTTACAATAGAGATGCGCAGGAGAATCTCTTTTTTTTCTACCTTGTATCTCTATTTTACAATAATGTCCTAACTATCAAAAACAAAAGACAGGAAATAGATAACCAGACTATGAGTGAAAGAATTCGAAAAAAAAAACAAGTTAAGAGTTGATTTTAATCAGATCTGTCTTTAATAAAATTAATTTTATAGTTTATTTCAATTCTATTGAATATTTTCTAGAGAAATTTTCGATGAATTCCATATTTTAAATTTTAAATCCATTTTAAGAAAAATCATTCAATTATGAATTATGATTCATAGTTTAGTTCTTCTAAATTGATTTTATTTTAGATTACAAATACTCTTTGTCAGATCATTTCGAGTGCGAAGTGATTTAGCTATTTTCAAAAACAATCCATTGTTTTTCTTTCCTAACTGGATAGATTCTCTCTTGTTTAAATAGGATGGATTAGTGAAGTGTACTATTTAATTCATATCAACATTTGAAATATATTATCTTGGAAAGTTAGATAATATCAATGCTGAAAGAACAGGAAAGATTTTTTTTTGCTTAGTACAAAATCCAATTTTTTGGTGATGATTATTAATATGAAAAAGCATTTAAAATAATGATTTTGTCCAAAGATAGAATGTAATTGTCTGAAATGAACTCATTCTTGTAATGCAGTCCTTTTTTAAATAAAAAATTCTTCTACTTTACATTATTTATGGAAATTTCGAAGCATCAGACGAGATCAATTAACTGAAGGCATTGGAAATTCCAATAGAAAATTATAGAAGTGAATAAAAGAAATAAATATAGATTCATTATTTTGAAGACATACATCAAGAATAATTTTAATGTGATTTGTTTTCTTTTAAGTTTTACGAAAATATAAAAGAAAAAATACATTTTATAGAATTATTTTTCTAATAATTGATTGAGAATTCTCTCTAGAAATATACTTTATATTACGACATCAAGTTTATTCTTTTTTCTTCTAAGTAATTAATCTTAATCAACAGTTGGAATCTCTATTTTTTGTAGTACAAAGCCCTTCTACCATGATTAATATCAATACAAAATGGACACAAAATGGTTTAACTGTCGCTGGTGGATGTCGAAAAGGCAATGGATTTAATCAATTAAGTTGTCCAAATGGTTTTTATGTTGATGATGATTTAACTGTTTATATAGCTGATTTTAATAATAATCGTATTGTAGAATGGAAATTTGATGCAACAAGTGGTCTTGTTATTGCTGGTGAAAATGGTCAAGGAAATCGAACCGATCAATTAGATGGTCCAATCGATATTATTGTTGATAAAGAAAGAGATTTTTTTATTATTTGTGATAAACGAAATCGACGAGTAGTTAAATGGCCTTATCGAGGTGGAACAAGTGGACAAACAATTATTCCAAATATTGATTGTGCTTGTTTAACAATGGATCAACATGGATTTATTTATGTTTCAGATATTCGTCAATGTCTTGTTAAACGTTGGAAAGTTGGTGAAACTCAAGGAACAATTGTAGCTGGAGGTAATGGAAAAGGTGATCGTCTTGATCAATTGAATTCTCCAACTTTTCTATTTGTCGATCATGAACAATCGATTTATGTTTCGGATAGAGATAATCATCGTATTATGAAATGGATAAAAAATGCACAAGAAGGAATTATTATAGCTGGAGGTCAAGGTCAAGGAAATAGTTTAACACAATTATCATATCCTTGTGGAATTATTGTTGATCCATCGTTAAATTTATATATAGCAGATCGTGGAAATCATCGAATTATTCGTTGGCCTAAAGATATTTATCAAGGAACTATTATTATTGGTGGAAATGGTTCAGGACAACAACCGAATCAACTTAATGAACCAAAAGGTATAGCATTTGATCGACATGGAAATCTTTATGTTGTCGATTGTTGGAATCATCGAGTTCAACGATTTTCTATTGATCAAAACTTAACTTCGTAAATTTTCTTTCTTTTTTTCTTTTCAATAAAATAGTTTATTTCAGTTTTCTGAAAATGAATAAAACAAGACAAAAGAAGATTAAATTGAAAGACTTTTGATAATCATCTCTATTCGATTAAATAAAGAAAATTCAATATGATCTTAAACTCTTAGAAAATATGACGTAAGAAAAGTTAGCAGCGAATTCAATTGTTTTTAACTCATATTGACCGATTGATCTACAGAAGTTCAAAAATTATTAGAACATCTGCATCTAATCATCAAGATATGTCGATAAACAGGAAAGGTAACATTTGATTTTCATTTGGATTTCAACGGAAGATAACCATAGGTGAACTCTAGCTACAATATATATATATATCAAGGTTGGAGACAGAAAGCCTGAGATGTGACATAGAGATCATTAAAAACTACGTATTCTTCGAAACAAAAAACTATTGAAATACTTGCATTTATTATGTTCCAACTGTTTTCTCATGTCACAAATATACTTCAATCATATATTATTTGAGAGAGATAAATTTTTTTCGTGATGATGAGTTGTTTTTTGGATTGAAAATAGGTCAAAAGTTCGAAAACTCTGGAAAGCCTTTAGTTTTTAGACAAGCGGATTTTTTTATAGATTTATGTACATATTATCAAAACAAGTTTTTAACTTTAAATACACCATTCGAAAAAACGCTTTGGAAACTGAGGCTAAGAATGCATTTATTGGCATTGTGTAAGGTTTAAATTTAAGCATAAAAGATAAGTTTTTTGTTCCTAGCTCGTGCACGGTACCGGCACGGCATAATTAGTTAGCGTTATCCTCCTCATAGTAAGCATGTAAAATGTTTGTTTTAATATAAATTTCTAGAAAAAAAAAATCTCTACGACCTAGATATGTACCTAAATCGCATCAAGTAGAGTCCTCGTTAGTATTGACACTTCTCTCCATATGACAGTTACAATAAAGGGAAATAGCTATTTTTTTGTTTTCATAGAATAGTCAAATGGAAAGAAGCGTCTATACTAACTAGGATTCTACTTGATATAACTTAGAAACATATCAAGGTCGTAGAGATGTCTTTTCTATAAATTTATATTGAGAGAAATATTTTATATGCTCACTATGAATAGGATAACGCTAGCTATGTCATGTTAGTGTCGTCTATGAGTTAGAAACAAGTAACTCACTTTTTAAACTTAGATGTAAGCTTAACATAGCATTCATAAATGCATCTTTAGTCTTAGTTTTCAATGATTTTTTCGAATGGTATATTTGAAGTTAAAAGCTTGTTGTAGTAACATTTTCAAAAGTCTATTAAAAAAATTCGCTTGTCTAAAAACTATAGACCTTTCAGGGATTTCGAACTGTTGACCTATTTTTCAAGTTCGATTTTCAATCCAAAAGAACTCATCATCACGAGAAAAAATTTCTCTCTTAAATGGTATATAATCGAAGTATATTTGTGACATGAGACAGCAGTTGAAACATGACAAACGTGACTATTCAAATAATGTTTCGTTTCAAAGAACATGTGCTTTGTAGTAAAATCCTTTTCACATCTCAGACTTTTTGTCCCCAACTTTGATATATGTATTGCATTCAGAGCTCATCTGTGACTACCTTCCGGTAAAAACTGAATGAAAATCAAATTTGACCTTTCCTAGTTATTGACTTATCTTGATGATTATATGCAGGTATTCCAATAATTTTTTGATCACTTATATATCTTGCAAAGAATTAAATACGTTGTTTGCATTTTTTGAGATTGAATTTTAGTCTCAATCTCGAAAGAATTCCATTTGATTCTTGACTTTGATTTATCATCAAAAATCGATGTGTATTATCTTTGTTTTCTTCTTATTCAACATTTTTGTGTTATTTTCATGTTCACGATAATTCTCAATTTTGTTTACCATTGATACTTCTTCGACTGATAGAAAGATAAAATAGAGCAACCAATATATTTCAAGATAAGTTTTCTCTAATTTAAGTAAAGTTTTTGACTTGACGAAATGAGAATAAATGGATTCGTTTAATTGAGAAACAAAATTTCTTTTTTATTGGAATTATTTTCAAATCATGTGAATAAGTAATGTCTGATCTTGTACCATTCATTCAAACATTCAGTGACATGATTATTTTTTTTGCAAAAAAATGGTAACCATTCTTGCATAGCTGAAAAGTTTCCATTGAAGGATACAACAATCAAAATGTATCATTCTAAATTAGAAGAAGTCGAAAATCGATCAATAATATCTGTTGATATGAATTTAACAGAAGTGATGAATAAAGACGAAACGATTTCTCTTTCGAAAGTTGAGCTCTACCTGTACGTAGACTAAAAACAGATTTTTCAGGTAAATAGCGTGGATATCTCCAAAAAAAAAATTTGATGAAAGAATTTCCGATATGAAACATTGGAAACTGAAAGAGATGACGTTAGATATGAAGACCTTGAAAGGAAACGTGAAGTTTTACTTTTCGGCTAACGAAATTTTATATGAAAATCAGGTTCGCTCATTGTTTTATCGATTGAAACACGAAAGGTAAACACAGCTGCTACGCGACATCCATCAACTGATGACATAGTCATCAAAAACAAAGTTATCAAATATACTAGTAATAATAATGATGACAAAGAAATTGACTCAGAACTTGAAGAATTGGAACAAGATTTTTAAAATATTAAGACTGTTATGGGTTTAGCTGTGATCTTTCTCTTCACTCATATACATTGCCGTACTCAGACTTACTCCCACACCCTAGTTTGTTTTCATGGTTGAAAATAGAATAGATGTTCAGTGTGAAAAAATTTTGATCGTTAATTCAAAGATATGCATTATCAAAAATCAAAACAAGTTAGGTTTTGATTTTTTTTCATTTATTACCGAATAAACAAATAAAAAAAAGAAATGAATGAAAACTATACAATAAACAGCAAAAATATAACTATATTTCTAATAAAAATCATTCTGAAATTATTTTTTCTGACTTTCAATAGATTTTCTTGCTTCTTTCTGTTCGACATAAGGTGCTTCAATTTTTAATTGTTCATCATCAGTTAAATATGATTATAATTGATCAATTTGTGTTCCAGGTGGTAACAATGTTGATTTAAAGAAGAGCGATTCTTATCTTTATGATGATGTTCACCTTGAACAATCAATTCATTATTTTTAACTGATACTTTGATTTCTTGTGGTCGATGATGTTTCATTTCAATTGACAATTCAAGTTGTTTTTGATTATTTCCTTTATCAATAATACGTGGTTGAAAATTAGAACTCTCCAAAAAACCAATGTAATCAAATAATGGATCACGATATTCACCGAATTGTGTCAAATTTTTATTTTTATTTTTAGCTTGAACAAGACGATGTTCTATTTCTGGATTTCGAATAGGTACTTCTATGACAAGCATATGATTTGGAGTTACATATGAAGTCAGATGATTTGAATCTAGATGAAAAAATAATAAATACAACAGTTCAATATGAAACGATTTGTTTTTATTTACTAGCATGTTCAGGTAATTCATATATTTTTCGTATTTTTCGAATGTTATAATCACCATCGGGCTGATGATCTTCTTGTTTAGCTTCGATAATAACTTTCTGATCTTCAACTTTGGTTTTGATTGTTTCTGGATTGAATCCGGCTACATTCAATTGTACACGAAATTTTTCAGCATTTACTACTCGTGATGATGATGATTCAAGACGCGTGTCATCATTTGATATATTATTGGATGCGTGTGTTAACCGATTAGGTTCATTTATCCATCGAAATGTATTTGGTCTAATAGACAAAGCTGATGAAAGTATATCAAAATCATATCATGGATCGAAAAAATCTAGTTGATCACCAAAGAATCGATCAAATGGATCGTCGAAAACACGATAACGATGAAATGGAAAGCTACTCATTATCTTGTTGACAGAGTATTGAGAAAATTAGATAGTCGTACTTAAACGTTGAAATATTTCTAATTAGTTCAATCGATTCATATACATATATATGCGTCTGATGATTGAAGAATGGGAAATTATGGAATGTTCGCGAATATTCTTTTTTGATCGTTGTGTTGTCATTCCACTCTTTTTTTTCTCTCTCTCTCTTTCTTGCTGTTCTTTCTTTCGTTTCTTACATATTTTGTTTTCTTTTTTTGTTAATATCAGATAATAATAGATACGTGCGAAAAAGAATAAAATATATTCTGCACTGTAGTTTACAGTATTTGTAAACGTGTTCTTTCTTTACTTAACTAATTACCCTTTAAGAATTAAAATATGTTGAGCAATGTTTTACTGTATTTTACTTGCTGAAAAGTTCAGTATCTAAGATATTCTTTCTCATGTATTAAAATTAAAGATATTTGAACTAGAAAAATGCTCATGGACAAAACTTCGCATGGTCCTAGATAATTTTTTTCAATAAACTCAATGTATAGATGAAGATAAAATAAACAGTGTGAAAATCTGATCAATTTAGAATTTGTAATTTTTATTAATCAATAGAAATAACCTTTTAGACATTATTATATCAAAAGAACTTATTTTAAAATTAATTCATTATTGTTAATTTTAAGAACAAATGTCCTATACCTTGAATATTAACTTATTTCGATGGATTGTTTATTTTTCTTGTAAACTATGACTCACTCACTTATTAGACATGAGAGAATTGTTGTCTTTTATAAAATCTATATTTGTTATGTTTTTTATTTTTTATTGACAACTATGTTATCTTGATTGATAAAATCAGAATTGAAAATCTGATTGTAAACTGGCTATAAAGCTTGTATTGTCGTCATGTGCTTCTTCTTTCGAATTACAGAGTGTACAAAAGTAGCTACCTAGAATAACAGAATCAATCGACGCGGAGAATGAGAGAGACTAGATGTTAAAATGTATATAAGAATGCTTCCTGAATCTAGATGACGATTCTTTTCTTAACACTATTTATACGTGGTACACTTCGCATGCTAAATTAATCTCTTCGTCAGATTAAG